GCGCAGGACGCCCCCTGGCGGGCCGGGCGGGCCCGGAGCGTTCCCGCAGCGCCCCGGGACATCCCGGGACATCCCGGGACATCCCGGGACATCCCGGGACATCCCGGGACACCGGGCAGCGGCAGCTCCTGGTGCCCTGGGAACAGCGACGTGAGCCCGGTAGGGCGGGAACACCGCGTACTGCCCGCCGGTACCCGAGGAGGGAGGCAGGGAGGAAGGAAGGGAAGGAAGGAAGGAAGGAAGGAAGGAAGGAAGGAAGGAAGGAAGGAAGGAAGGAAGGAAGGAAGGAAGGAAGGAAGGAAGGAAGGAAGGAGCCACTCAATTCTGGCATCCTTCTAAATGTTTGGAATACCTTTGAGCATCAACACCTGCAAACATCTGCCCTGGCACACACAGAGCTCTGGAATCGGATGTGCTCACCTGTGCATAAGGGACAACAATCTCTACTTCTACACATTTTAATTCCCTGATCAAATCTACCTGATTTTTTCTTGCTTTTTCGTTTTAAAGACACCCACTTGGCATTTTGAAGTGAGATTTTTGTATCTGAATCAATCTGCCCAGGATTTCCTCCTCCTGAACACTTGGAGGTTATAAATAGAGGGAGAATTTGTATAGAACCAGACACACAACATTTTTGGCTGCAGCAGATGTGGTGTTTCATGTCCCTTCCACACATCTTGGGGATGTGGTCTCAGCAATTAATAGTTTGAAAAAATATTCTGTTATTAACAACTTCTTGTTCCTGCTCTCGTTAACAACTTAAAGCACCTGGCAAAGAGAAGGTCATCGGGGGTTTTTCAAAGAAATGCTGTTTCCCTGGGAATATCCCTCAACTCTGGGGTAAAATGTACAGAGGAAATGTACAGACAGAAAATATTTTCTATCCAGAAAACAGCCAATAGCCACCTAACTCAGGCTCCTGCCTGAGACCTGGGCTAAAGCTCTGTGCTAAATGTTTGCAGCTCTTACATGAACAGCCAAGGATGAAAAGTTCTTAGAGAAGACCCCAGTGCATTTCTCCATCTCAGTGAAGATTTTATTTAGATATGAGTCACCAAAATAATTCTGTGCTTAAGCTCCCCCCGCTTTTCCATCCATCTTTCACTGCTTTGGTAATTATGAGGTCCTAATACCTTTGGAGTCCCTCAGGGCAAACAATTCACGGTAGAAAGCCAGGCAAGGATAAAAAAAATCAAACCAACCTCTGGCTAACTTAAAAGAAATTCCCACTTTGCAATTATTTACTACCAAACAAACAAAAAAAAACAAACAAACAAAAAAACCCCCTGCACTGTTCTAAAAGAGCATTTCTCTGTCTCTATTATTTAAGGTCCATAGATTTCTTGCTTATTTATGTATTTTATTAATTCCCCCTCCCCAGAAATATCTGGATGTTAAAGACTGGTATTGACCATTCCCCCCTTGCCCACTGGTGATGGAGCTGAGTGGATTTTGCTCCAATCTTTATTTCTGTTTCTAGACTTTCACTCGTACCATTCCATTGTAAACAAATAATTATTATTTCATTAGTGTTGCAATTCAGAATTAATTGGCTAATTTACACGTGGATCAATTGTATAAATGTGATGTTTGTGATAGGTGCTTGATATGATTTAAAGTAATTGTTTATTTTCGGGTTTTGGCTGTATTGTATTGCAAAGTGATTTATCTCCTTATTTATCCTGTCTCAGCACTGCCTCTTCTTTTTCATTATTTTTCTAAAGAGCTACACTCTTGCTAGGCTGGAGCATGAGCCTGTGTGCTGTGATTCTGTGGTGCCCCACTGCTGGGAGCTCCAAAAAGCCCTGGCTTGCAGCCTGCTGAAGAGGATGTCCAGAGCACAGCAGCCCTGTGTAATTCCTGGCAAGAATTACCCACTGCAGCCCCAATTTCATCCAAATTCTTCCCCATCTTTATCTGCCACCCCTGAGTGTCCCCACTGTAAGCACAGGTGAGAAATTTTGGGTCAACTTTTGCTCAGCTTTCTCTTTTCCATCCAGAGGAAAGGGCAGAGCTGAGTTTCCTTGTTCCTTTATTTGTCCAAGTGGGAGCTCTCCTGAAGAAGTTTGCACATCTGGGCTTCCAGATATTGTGGGGAAGCAGAATTCTACCAAGGCACTGCTTGATTCCGTGGCTGACATTAAACAAAATCCCACAGGAGGATGCTGAGGCACCTCCTTGCATCACAGTTTGGATGTCCAGAGGGAGAAGGAAGAAAGGATGAGAAGACATTTAACAGCTTGCCTTACACAGAAACTCTCCTTTCCCAGGCAATCAAAATGAATCCTTCCACCATCAGATTTTAGAGCTCCTGTCACGCTGCCCAGGCATATAGACACAATTTTGTGAATGCCAAAGATTAACTGCTGTAGAGTCTGAGCTGTTCTCAATGGGTCTTCCTATTGCAAATCCTTCCCTATTATCAGGGCCTTTTAAAAATCTGAGTTCCTCAGCATTTCTCTGCTAGTTTTTCAAGTGCTCCTTCTGAAATGCATGGCTGGAAACAAACAGAGCTTACCCAGAAAAGGGATGCCACTTTCTCATCAAAAGGAATGTCTCTTGTGGGATGTATTTGATAAGGATGTTTTATTCAAGGCTGGAAAAACTACAAGGGAGTTGTGCTTGGAAGCCTGTCTCAGGTTTCCCCAGGCTGAGTGGATCAGGGTGTATGAGATGTGTGTGGGTTGAGAGGTATTTTGGAACAGCTAAAGTCGTTCCCTTATTATGCCTTACAATGGCATTTTTGTACCTTTAAATGGAAGGCTTTGTTAGTCTCTGTTTTCCAGTGGCTTCCTGGCAAGCTGAGAGTCCTCCCTGACAAATATTAGAATCTCCTAGTGCTTCAGGAAAGCAGGTTGTTCAATTTATCAGACTTTTATTTCTGAGGCTCATCACAGTCCTGTGTCTGACTCACAGAGATGGCATTTTTATCAGAAAATGGGAGAAATTTCTAGGTTGTGATGTTTTTGTGAAACAAGTGCTGCTGCAAATTCCATGCAATTTGGAGTAAACCCACAGGGACAGAACTGATGAGGTGATCTAAGCACAATCTTTGTCTCACAGAGCACTGCACAGCTACTCTATAGATTGTGATAAGATGCTCTGATCTCATCACAAACCATAGAACATATCCTTTGCTTTGGTCACTTTGTCTTGCCCACCAGAATAATTTCTAGAAGGTTTCATCACCCTGACATTAGTCATGTGTGCACAATTTATCGCTTCCACAAGTGAACTCTCCAAATGGAGG